GTCTTCCGTAGCCGTTCCCGCGGTGGCAGCGTCACTGCTTCCAGAGCGCAGCGCCCGGAGAGCCGGGTGGGGAGATGGTTGAGAAGTCTCCAGAGGAAGGCTGGCGGGAGACCGCGGACCTGCGCTCACGCACGAACTTGCACGTGAACGTTCGCGGCAGCACCGTTCGTAAGAGCGAGAACGTGGCGGGAACCCGAACCTTCGCGGGTGCGTGGATGAACAATACGTGGTATCCCCGCGCGACGGGATACGCTTCGGCCGTGAGAAGCAAGGAGGCGCCACACGCGTTGCCACACGGATGGACCTGACAGCGTGGTGCCGGGTCTCAGAAGCCAGACACAAAAGGTCCTGTGCTGTGTGATTCCATTTATAGGAAATGTCCCGAAAAGGTAGATCCACAGGGACAGAAAATGGATTAGTGGCTGGAAGGGGCGAGGGGAAGGAAGGAACGTGCCTGCTGGTGGGCACAGGGTTTCTTTTGGGGGTGACGGAATGTTCCAGAATTGGTTGTGGTGATGGTGGCACAACTTTGCGAATGTACGAAAAGCCACCGAATCGCACACTTAGAAAGGGCGGGCTGCGTGGGGCATGAGTTCTGCCTCAGTGGGGGAGAGCAGGTGCTCTGAGCTTCTTGGTGATGCCCGTGCGGGGTCCCTTCCCTACGGCTTAAGGCTCGGGGGGATACAGGGCTGGTGGGGATATTCCGTGGCCTGGTGTTACTGCCTCAGGGGCCCTGGGGGCAGTGTGATCAACATTTACGTGTTTGACCCCCTTCCCCACAGCAAGGCGAACAGGCGAACTCCCTTCACTGGCGGTTTCCCCCGTGCCAGGTTCCCAGCTGGGAAGAGGCTCAGTTTCACCAAAGCGACCGCCCCCTGCCAAGGCTCCCCTGGGAATTCCCTGGGACATCCCGGCAGCCCGGGCTGGGTGGAAAGGCTCAGCGCGCCTGCGCCCCTCCCCTCCCGCCCCGTCCGCAGACCGAGGGAAGCTCATCTCCCCTCCCGCCCCTGCCCCTGGCTCTCCAGGCCACTGTCCAGCGGCCTCTGCAGCGCGGGTCCGTGCTGCCTGTCCACGCGTGCTCTGGTCCTTGCCTCGTCCTTGCGCGCTGGTGGAGCGAGGCGGTAACGCCCTCTTCTCTCTTGCAGGTTCTCCTGGACTGGATCAACGACGTGCTGGTGGAGGAGAGGATCATCGTGAAGCAGCTGGAGGAGGACCTGTACGATGGCCAGGTGCTGCAGAAGCTCCTGGGTGAGTCTGTCCTGCCCCACCCCCTGCACAGGGTCCCAGGCGGGACCACAGGATTCTGTACGCGGCAGCCTCGGCCACACAGCTGGAGCTGCAGCGCACACCGCCCCGGTGGTGTCCCCCAGGCCCTGGGCTGTGGCTTCATTGTGTGTCGGGGGTGTTCACAGGGCACCACCCTGGGGCTGCAACAGGTCACGCACAGCTTCCAGAGCTGCTGTCAGCTCCTGTCCTGTGGGTGCTCGGCCCTGGGGGAGCACGGACATGGGGCAAGAGCAGGGAGCAGTTTCCCCCCAGGCCAGCAGCTCTCCTGCCCACCCCCCCCACCCCAGCCTTGCCCCTTCCCCATCTGTGAGCGCCTTGTCTCAGGATGGGAGGCGTCAGGAGGGAGGCCGGTCCCCAGCAGATACTTTGTGAGTGAACGTGTCACCAAATAAATCGTAGCTCGTCATTCCTCACCAGGGGTGGGTGTTTTGTTGTCTGCATTTGCCGGCTTAGGCCGGTTTAGTCATCTTCCCAAGTCTGGTTGATGAGTCGCTCGATGGGTAGATACACTGGTTATCTGTTCTGAAGTGTTCGATGAATGCTAAGTGCTGGGCGCTTTGGCTACAGCGCCCTGGGATACAGGCGTCTTCCCCGTCTTCATGAACTTACAGCCTGTCTGGGAAGACAGACTTCCAAGTAATTACAGTTACTGTTCAGTCCAGCTGTGACCAGGGCCTTAGGAGATGCTGCAGGCTCTGAGGCGAGAACACCTGACCGGGCCTGGGCAGGGCAGCCTCGCTGGCTCCCGTAGAAGGATGGAGTGTCGCCCGGCAAGGACGGGAAGGGCAGCGTTCACGGATGAGCAATGAAAATAATTTTGACATTAGCATCCACTGACTGGTAGTGGGTTCTCACTGTTCCTAGCACTGTTGTGGATTGTCACGTCTAATTGTCACGATGGCCCTGGCAACCCAGGGTCTCCTAGTGACTGGTGGGGCAGCCTGACCCCAGAGCGCAGCTCCTGAGCGCTGCGGCGGGTCCCTGTCTCTCACCTGTTCAGGGAGCTCCCCAGGTGCAGGCCCTGTGTGGGACACCCACCTGCCTTGTCACAGCTGGTCTCACAGCAGCTCTGAGGGTGGGCCGAATGGTCACTTGTCCCCCAAATGCCTTTTGCTTTGACCCAGGACTCGACCACGTATTACGTTTGTCATACTCTTCCAGGCGTCCTTCATCTAGAGAACCCCCCCTTTCTCTCTCTCTCTCTCTCTTTCTCTCTCTCTCTCTCTCTCTCTCTCGTTCTTTCCGTCTTTTATGACATTTCGAAGTTTCCAGGCCTCTACTGAATATCCTACGATCTGGATTGGTCTGATAATCTATTCACGATTACATTCCGGGCAGACGTTTTTGGTGAGAAAGTTCCAGAGCTGCTGACGTGTCCTCCTTGGCGCGTCACGTAAGGGGGATACCGGGCCGTTACCGGCGTGCTCAAGGTTTGATCACTGTTGACGTGGTGGCCAGCAGCTCTCTCCGTGTTGAGGGCATTTCTTTCATTTTTAGTGAATGAGTGGTCTCCGGAGAGAAGGCTTTGAGACCAGGGGGACGTCCTGCTCACCCACAGCGCTCGCCCCTGATTTTGGCATCTATCGACTGTTCCCTGGGTCAGTTACGGCACTGAGGGTTGCAAACTAGTGATTGCTCCGTATTTATCCCGCCTTCTCTGTTTGTTAACTGGCATTCTCTTCTGTAAATAAGAGAATTTTTTTCTAATAAGAGAATTTTCCCTGTTGCATTTATTTTTTGAACATCCTTATGGACTAATAGATTCTTTTATTTAAAAAGGGGAATGGTAACGAGATACCAAAATCTGAGCACTGCGGGTCATCGTTGCCACTGGAGTGTCATTGTGTCTAGGCTCTTTCAGTCTGCAGAGCTGGGAAGTGTGTTTCGTTAAGAAAACCCGTGAGTTCACGTGACACCTCTGATGCCAGCTCAGCTCTGCAAGTGTCTTCCTTACCTTCCACCATCCTGTATTCTGGTCTGTACTGAGAACCTTGGCTCCAAAAATATATTTACTGTTTATTCTATCTGATAACACACAAACTAGTTCTAGAATTACTATAGCAGTGCCTCTGTCCACCACAAATGTGCTGGTACGAGATTTCTTTGCCATTAGTTTTTGTCTGTAAAATATACCCGCTAAGTGGATATAGAGTTGGGGTTCTGTGCTCAGAAGTTACCTGAATTAATTACGTCTTTTTTGAGTGGTCACTCGTGTCATCGATTCGATGTACAGTTAGATTGTGTCTGTATTCAGTTTTGTGGTCTTTTTCATTTAATATTTTTAAGTTTATTGAATTATTAGTTTTTAAGTATAAAGTGCTTACATGGTTCAAAAGTCAAAACTATAAGAAGGGTGTACCTCGAGAGGTCTCATTGCTGTCTTTTCTTCCTACGAACCCCACGTAACCATTTTTCAATGGATTCTGATTTTTGTCTTTCTTGTGTTTCTCTGCAAAAATATGCGTACACACATAAACTTATTTCCTTCTTTCTTACGCAAAAGGTGCATGTTACGTGTATTCTTTTACACACCTTGCGTTTTTCGCTTGATGATATGATCTGGGACTCCTTCCACAGAGAGATCATCTTTGTTTTTCTTCACGGCTGCATGGTATTCCACCACGCGGATGTTCTTCCATTTATCCACCCAGACGCCTCTGGGCGGGCGTTTACGTCACGCCTAGTGTTTTTCTATTACCGGTAATGTGGTAGTGAGTAACCTTGCGCAAATGCTGAAGAAACTAGAACTGTTGATCTCGAGTCTAACGAGTCTTCCTTGAGCTGTCTACCTCTAGAGGGAGGAATTCCCCAGTTCCTTCGCCTCTGGCCTTCCAGGTGTGTTGCTCCTGAGTTGGTCTTTCTGTGGCCATTTCCTCTTTCCTCACATCAATGCGCAAACGTGCTATGATTAAAAAAAAAAAGAGCCCTTCTCCTGTGACACTCCTGTCTCTTGGTGTGGCCGAAATGTGTTGACCGTTCTACCCCTAGGGGCTCCTGGTGGCCCAGAGAGCAGTTCGGTGCAGTGGTGAGGGTAGCATCCTAATCAGAGAGGTCCAGAGAGTGGACTGCGTCTTTGGGGCACGAGATTTAGACGGGGAGAGTGAGGAGGAGGGTGAGCCGTGCTGCAGATGGCTCCTTTCTGTGTCCGTCGGCCGGGGGCTGTCCCAGCTCCCCACGCAGTGCACATTGACCAGGTCTCTCTGCTCCGTAAGCAGGAGTTTAAAAGAAAGAGACAATAAATGCAAAGTA